CACGATTTTCCAGCAGTACATGGTTTCTCACAAATACCACCTATAAAGAATGAGAGTTAAAAATCACGAAAGATTAACATTTTCACGTTTTAAATAAGCTCAGGGTATATGGTGACCGTAACAATTATAGATGAGTTACAGATCCTAATTTTATTCAAACAAAATACAAAACAAAACAAACCTGAAAAAAACAGAGAAAAACATAACTCTTTTCAACTTAAGAAAAACCTGAAAACCTGAAAACCTGAAAAAAACAGAGAAAAACATAACTCTTTTCAACTTAAGAAGCAGTGTAGAGCTGTAGTATGTTTTTCAAAATTTTGACGGAGGTTTGGAAGAACCATTTCTCTGGAATGTCTCCATCATACATAGGATATTTTTAATCTATTAGAGCTGTGGTCACATCGCATTTATGTTGCACTTAGGGACCAGCACTCCCCATGCCTGGTTCGGGCCAATCAGGTTCCAAATGATTTCATAGCAAAGATTTATTCACTAGTAACCTAGCAATACCAGCCGACAACTTCTTTACATTCGGTTATAGAATAACCGTAAAAAATGGACGCACTCACCCTCATAAAAGATAAAGGTACTTTTTATTTCTTCTCCATATTTGTTACTGGCATTACACCTGTATTCTCCAAGTTTCTCTACTTGGATATCTTCAATGCTCCATTTTTTCTGGTTCCATGTTTTGCCTGATTTTACATGAGTCCATAAGATAGAAAGTGGCGGCGTCCCAGACACATTACAGTGAAGTACAATAGTTCCACCCTTAACGACAGTGTGTTCTCCCATGGCCATAACTGCAGCAGGAACTATAAGACATATCACAAAGACTAAAAGTTAGCAGTCCTCTGGTAAAAAAGGCGGTTTTGTCATAAAATCATACACCAGACAACCTGCTTGTATATGTTGAGAAATTATAGGACTATTTCTCATAACCTTTCTAAGCTCCAATCCGTAAACCTTCTTTGAATTAGTTCCTACCTGTACTAGCGCTATACAGGATTTGAGTTTACCGGTTAGTGATGCTTTTGATTTCCACTGAACTCTGGATAAGTGGTGATTTGACTGTCGCCCACAATTGCACTGCACAAACATACCAACACATACATGTATCTGTGACTCTTACCAGGCCCCTGTTGTTGGAAGGCTGGATAACGCTATCCGCTGGATAAATTTCTGTCCGATGGACAGTGTAGTCGTTCGATAACGTTCTCCGACCTATATAAAACTGAGCCCAGAACACTACTAAAAGACATGTATATACTTTAGCAAAAAAAAGTTTTAATCCCCACACGAGGAGGCTAAACGAGCCTCCAGACAGGCAAAAAAGTACTTGGTGCATTTTTTACTCAGGAGCACTTTGCAACCGAGTGTCGAAAAACCAAAACAAAAATAAACACAGCAACCAACAAGGTTAGCATTATCATAAGCCAACGAGAACACGAATTGAAAACAAGCAAACTTCTTGAGGTGCGGGCAAACGCGA